ATCGGCTTTGTTCTGTCTTGTTCTGTTGTATTTTACTACCTTCAAAAATAATTTTAAAAAATTAAAGAGTAGTGACAATAACCACCTAAGATGTAAAAATTGAAATAGAGCAAACAAACTCTTAAAAAGCAGCTGTCTAATGCATTTTTTTTTCTTTATGAATTACACAGATAGGAAAAGAGTGGTCACTGAGTTTTAACAGTGTGACACCTACTGGAGGCTGTGAAAGCCCTGTGTTCTGGGGAGCTATAGAGAGCTCCTGGCTTTTCCTGGGGCTCCAGAAGCAGGAGTTTTTCTCAGTTTCCAGATACACTCTGCTAACAAAACGGTTATCTCATGCTGGTCTAAGATTTGCCCTATACACGATTAAGGCTACAGTAAAGGACCCGACAGAACTCATGTGTGGTGTACTCAGACCTCTCCTTCCAGGTTACTAAAACTGTGTCTTGGGCAATTCATGCAGTGAGGATAGAGTTACATAGACTGAGTGACTTAAATAGCAAACATTTATTTCTCATGTTTCTTTAGACCAGAAGCCTGAGTCAAAGCGAGCAGCACTAAGGGATTTGGTGGGGCCTTCAGGGTGACAGCTTCTCACAAAGAGGGAGAGAGAATTCTCTGAGTCTCTTTCATCAGGGCACTGATCCTGCTCCGGATGCTCACTCTCATGACCCAGTGGCATGAACACTGTGGGATCATGCTTCTTCCCAGCACTTACTGCCTCCCCTGTGATGCACTATATTTAACTACCCATTTGTCAGTGTCAGTCTTCACCCCTGGAATGAAACCTCCAGGAGAGTAGGAAAGCATCAAATCTCCAGTGATCAGTCCGTGTTTGGCACACTAAGGCTTGCAACAAAGGTGTGGATGGATGAATGGATGGGTGGGCATATCCTGCCTGCTGTAAAAACTTAAGATAAAATTATAGCAATTAAGCTTTTACAGGCATTGTCACATGGTGACAAGATATGAGCAGAATAAAATATAGAGCCTAAAACTTTGCTCTGCAGGCATTGTTTCACATGATAGATGTATGACATTATAAACCAATGTAGAAATGGTGGACTGAGAAATAAATACTAATATCATAACGCACATCTATGCAGAAAATGTACTAAATCTTGACTTTATATCACACAAAGAAGATTACTTTCAAGTGGATTAAACATGAAAGATATAACTTTAAAAACATTGGAAGGAACTAAAGTTGTCTACTTAGAACTTTATTGCCCATGGGAAGGAGTAGATTGTTGAATTATAAAAATATACTACCCTAAAACAATTATTAAAATATTTCAATATATTAAAAATTGTATGCCTCTGTAAATAAAGTGAAAATAGGTTTGGACTAAGAAAAATATTTGTAACATATAACTGCAAAATGAATCTAAAACATCCAAATAAGAATAGAACATAATTTCAACAAACTCCTACGCACCCCTCCATTGTGGTCAAATATTATCATCTTACCATTTGTTACGTCCTCTACTTAGCACGTACCTTCCATGACTTGTAGCCACACTGATGTTCACATGTCACTGAAAGCCACCTTCTGGTCTCCCCCAACTTCCCCAGTACTCCCATTCTCCTCCTCTGTCTCCTTCCTGTAACAACCCCAGGGGGGGAAAATAGGCATAAGAATAAATAAAGAGCCCAAGGAAAAACTGGCTAATAAGGCTTAGAATAATACTCAGTCTCATTCATAGTTAGACAAATGCATACTAAGCCTCAATGAGATATGTCACATCTATCAGCTTGGAAAAATTTAGATCTGATTGTACTAAATCCTGGCCGTGATGGGGGCTAATAGCAAGTTTCTGTAAATGCTGCCATCACTTTATATAACCAACTTGCCACATATAATAATTTTGAAGATGCACACACCTTCAGCCCAGTGAGCCCACAGAAAAACCTCACAAATATATCCCCTAGGAATGTACAGTGTCCATTCCAGCAATCCTTGAGTATCTGATTTGGAAACCACCCACACGTACATTAACACAAATGATTGAGCCAGAATGTAAGGCTATGATAAAATACCATCTAAATACTAAAATAAAAGAATTTAATTCTATCAATGTGACAAATATTTAAAACATAACATTGGACAAAATAAGCAGGCTTTGTATGGATGCCTACAGTTGAAATACCACTTAAACACGGTTTTAAACAATGCAATATGTGGTGTATATTGTTTATAGGGCAAATATGTATTAAAAACAGAAAAACATCTATGAAAATTTAGGAGAATAGTTATCTTTGTGGAATTGAAAAGGAATTCATGAGTGACTTTGCTTATGTCCACGAAGCTTTATCTTAAAAAGACCTGAAGCAAATATGTAATAGAATGATAATATCTGGCCAGCCTGGGTGGCAGTACATAGGTTTTTGTTATAATTATGTCTATATTCAACTTCATGCTTGAAATATTTAATAAGAAAGTAAATAGGAGAGCACTTCAGTGTGACTATGGGGGAATAAAGTCCAAGCCGTAGCACATCTAGACTGCATGTGACACGGTAATTGTGAGCAGCACGCTGTCTGGAGCCATGGCCCAGGCTCACACTCTCACCCGGTGCCGCCCTTCCTGACAGTTAATGAGAAGAGGTGGCCCGGGCTTGAACCTCAGCTCAGGCACTCATTAAACATTCACAGCCGCATGGCTTTCTTCATCTTCAGGGTGGACACACGAGTAAACAGAGTGGAGACCGGAAAGACAATGGAGAATATTAATGAGGCTTACAACTGGTTCTTCAAAAAGATCAACAAAATCCACACGTGGTAGCTAGATGGACTGAGAAAACAAAAGAGAGGGCTTGATTAAAAAGAAATGAAATAGAAGACCATACTAACAATTTTACAGAAATACAGAAATGATTATAGTGTGTAAAAATAGGACTCCTAAAAGGCAAGTGAAGTGAGATAGATCCGGCACAAAGGAAGAGCAGGCCATGTTTAAGAACTCAAGGTCTGATGTAAAGAAATTAAGTCTGTTTTCTCTCGTTAGTGTGTGCTTACAGTCCGTGGCAATGGCATCCGTCCTGGGGCTCAGTACCGTTAATATCCCGCCTGGACTCTTTTTATTTCCCCTTCTCCCCCCTCCTTCCCTGCTCCTTCCAGCCCTTGGGCCCCTTCCCATTTTCAAATCTCTAGTTCAGGTTTTGTCTTCAACTCTGAAAGCCTGTTTTTAATGTCATGATTTCTCTCCTGTTTTTCACAATAACTATATCAGGTTGGTATTATGATTATCCTGCTTCATTTAGAAGAAAACTTACTAAGCATTATTTAGAGGACAAGTAACTTGCTCAAGAATACCCAACTCGTAATTACAACCAGGTCTTCCTCTGGAGAAATATGACTGTAAATAATATCCTGGCAAATATTTCACCAGCTCTGTGAACACACTAAATTGAATTTCCATAGAACACGTCAATAATCTATCTGATAGCTCTTGTTTTTCCTTGAACTGAGTCAACCAGCCATTGCTGATTGAAACTAATAACCAGCATCTACTTAGTTTATGTATGTATAAACTTACCATATGAAATGACAGAGTTGTAACGGGACATTTCTAGATAAATATTCCTGCCTTCAACAGATTCTTAGCCTTGAATGCATAGAAAGATCACTAGGCCTTGATATCCCATTATGTTGAGGGTTTGTGTTTTGTTTTGTTTTGTTTTGGTTATATAACTGTGGACCCTTTTTCCCTTCTCAGCTTTACTTTCTTGTCTGAAAAATTGCTAGCTGTCTGCCTCCCCCCTTGTTTTATCTTTGGTGAATCCAAATGGAACTTAACTTTCATGGTCACTGATTATTTTGAATGAACAATTTTCCTGATGTTACCTTAGTCAAGTCAGTTTTAGGGATCATGTCCTTTATTTATTCACTCACTCGTTCATTCTGTCCCTTATACAACAAACATTGAGTGACATTTGAGAACTGTGTGCCAGTCTTTGGGTTGGAGTCATAGAGGGCAAAGATCAATAAGGGATGACAACTCCTACAGGAACTCACCATGAGAGGGAAGCAGAGATGGAAGTGAGTGATTCCGTACAGAGTGTGACCTTTGTAGTGGGGTATTACTGTGGAATCATGGAATAGGGAGTCCCTAGCTAAATAGGGGTTTAGGGGAGCAACATAGAAATTGTGACATTGAGACTGAAACTTATTTATTTCTGTCTTTAAAGATGTATTACATTTTAGAAACTTCAGAAAACATAAGAAATAGGAAAACAACCTATAATCATCCTTCAAAGATACCCAGTTATCATGTTATAAAGACACCAGTGTTATTTTCTGAGATCAACTTCCACATGGATGACCTCAAGCTTTGTCAATAATTTTGTGATAATGCACAAAATACATTTCCCACATGTTGAAAATTTTAAAGATATTTTCACGTGGATAGCATTATTCTATGCAGAAAACTAACATTCACTTTATCAATTCTCTACTGTTTGTTTCCCTTTTATAAATAACACTATAATGAGTATCTCTGTATATAAATGCTGGTCTACATTTACAATTGTTTCTTTAACAAGAAACCCAGAAGGTGAATTATGGATTAAAGGATCTGATCAGTTTTAAGACTCTTGACATTTTCTCCAGTGCCTACTTCTTTCCTGATCACAAGGCAAGAGCTCAAGCCTTTAAGAGAACAAGATAAATTACAAATATGTATTTTTCTGTGTATAAGCATGCGTATTATGTACAAATGTGCAACAGAAACACACACAACACACACACACACACACACACACACACACACACACACACACAGTGACTCTTTCCTAAGAGGCACTGTATGACTGCCTCTTGCCTAACACAATGAACCATATTTCTTGGTACTTTTCATCAGTGGCAGTTTTCTTTTATCCACTCCTGTAATCCCAGGGTCTGAGCTATATTAGGAAGCTTGAATAAAAGAGAAAGAAACAAAACAAGACCATGAAATAATTAATGTTTGCCTTTTAATATCATTTTCTGTTCATTTTCAGCATTCAGGAAGAGATGAAGTGTGGCTCTAAGTCTTCATGATTGAAGAACTCTTTTGTCCAACATAAAGGTAAATATTTGAGTCTGGCTGAGTCTTGCTCGTGCAGGACAAATCTTTTTGGGAAAATTGCTCACAAATGGCTATTGCTTCTCCTGATGGGGTGGCTTTCATGCTTTGAGTTTCACTTTAAAATACAGTAGAGGGTTCACAGACCCATTGAGAATTGGTGCTTAGTGTGGCTTCTCTCTGTTCTACAATGCATTTGTGGTTGAAAAGGCAATATTGATTCTCTTTCTTCCTTTCTTTAAGCACCTAGTGAATGTCGTTAGGACTCTTAAGTTTTCCTGTCTGGATTTTAACCTCTTCTAACAGATTGTCTCAGATTGGTTTGATTTTAGAAACAATGATGTTGGCTTTGTTTTCTCAAATGCCTGTCTTTTAAGTGTATTTACCAGTAAAAGAAACCATTCAGAATTGTGGAAAAGAAAGTCAAACCATGCATAAGACAAATGTTTCTACATAAGAAGCAGACCTGGAGATTTATGAGCTAAAGAGACGAGGGCTATAATTTCAAAGTCCTAAACTTTTAAATGATGGTAGCACTGAATTATGTACTTTTATACAGAAGCCAGGAAGGCACAATTGAAAATGCCTATTCTTTTGACAAATTACAAGCATTCATTCCAATATCTATTTCTTGTTTACTGGGAATAATGCTGAATGAATCACAGACTGGTGGATGGATGTTCCTTCCCACACTTTTAATTAGCAACACTGCCTATTAGGAGGAACAGAGTGTTGTTTTTCAGCCATAGATTACCCCTAACCCCCCTGAAATGGAATAGAAATCTTATTCTCCACAAGGTAATATTCATCTCTTCCCCCAGCCAGACAAGCATAGCAAATTAAACAATGGTCCGTTAAAAAGCTCAGATAATGTATTTATCATTTCCAGTTTATGTGAGTTTGCAAGGCAAATACGAGTGGGAGCTATTTGTTATGGGACCTTGGGGAGCAAGGGGCTGCAGAAGGAGCCGCGAGGCTGGGGATCTGAGACCTGTGAAAATTCATTAAAGATATGAGGCACTATTGGAGACAGAGGAAATTAATTGCTCTGAAGGACTCAAATGTCACCGCTCATTTAAGTGACCTGGCGAGGAAGCTGGGCACCCCCTTTCTTGAGAGTTCTGTAGAGGGGGAGGGAGGGAGCCAGGATTCCTTTGCTGTCAAATTTTGCATTTCCTCAGTGACTTATTGACACGTTCAGCTGACTCGAGCCCCAGCCTCCTCTAATGAGTAGAGTCAGATGAGAAATGCGGGTTGGAGTGGGTGAACCCTGGCCCTGCAGACTGGTCAGGTTATTCAGATGAGCGCACCAGCCATGTAAGTAGCTGCCAGACAGAGAAGAAACCTGTAATTGACCACATTGGAGAGAGAAGGCTGGTCATTTTAGGCAGCACTGAATTCGGTCTTTTATTAGTGCTTTTCCATCCTCAAAGCTATTCTCGGAGGTGGAGTGAATTTGGAAAGACAAATTAAGGTTTTCTACCTAAGGAGAACTGGGGAGCAGTAGCTTCCAAGAACAGTCATCTTTTCTAGATTGCCTGTCTAATAAATCTCGTACATGCATTCAGCCTCCAGACAGAGGTTGAAAATATATAGATATGGGATGACTTCATAGTTTAAAGTCAGAAACCCCAGAGTAATGGAGAAAAAAGCTTTCCCAGATGTGTGCCGCCACTAGACTCAGGGGTCCTGGGGTTTCTTCTGAACCTGACAACAAAGCAGCTTGGAGACCTCGCATAGCCCCAGCTCCGTTGGACACTCAACACACGAGAACGATAGTGTCTGTCTTACGTGACTGTGAATACCAGTGTGGCCAGAGCAGCCTTGAAATGGGCACGTATCAGAGAGGTGTGTGGTATCTTCATCTGCACCTATTATGTTCTGTTTTAATCTGTATACAGTATTCTGTTTCCATGCCTTCTTTATAGCATAGAGGTAACTTTCTTATAAACCCTGCAGAGCTTCCTAGATCCTTTTTCACTCAGATTTCCTTTATTTACATTTTCGTTTTTCCTCTTATTTCTTATATAATCATACATTCTCTAACTTAAAAGGAAAAAGGAAACTCTAGGTGCTAAGAGGTTCAACTGTAAGAATCTAGAGACCAGAAGCACTTGGGAATTCCCCACAGCTGTTCCTGTTAGTACTGGTGATGGGATTGTTTTCCAAAACTGAATGTCTTGGATTCTGACCTCGGCTCTAACTCATAGCAGCCTTCTTACAGCGATCAAACCAATCTTGTTGAGCTTCAGTTTTCACATCAATAAAGTTAAGGGGCTAATACTTTTCCTGCAGGATCTTGTAAGAATTAAATAATCCACCGGAAGAGTTCTGGCATATTATATTCCAAATGTATGTTAGCTTATAATAATACCTACATCACTTATAAATTTTTAAAATACAAAAGGTAGATGTTTTAGTCTTTGGCAACAAGGAAGAAAGAAGCTGGGGAGATATTTTCTGCCTGTAACTGACCTTAAAAATGGAGACCCCTGGGAACACAGGCACTGACGGTGGCTGAATCTGTGGGTGCACAAAAAGCACTCCTGGCAGAGGGGCTGGGTGCTGAACGACTAGGCCTACAGATTTCTGAGCTTCCACTCACCCCACGGAGAACATCTAGGTCAGCCCTCTCCCTGCTACAGTATCACTCCTAGATAGTGTGGGAGCTTTGGGATGTGCCAGCTTGGCTAGTTTGAATTGCATTACCCACAGTTCAGTTTCTTTTATGTTCCCAGTTAGGTGGACCACGGAGAATCTTAGGAGATGTGGAGGACAGAAAGGAAACAGCAGCCGATTTGCCTCTCGTCTGCTGTGCTGACGTGCAGACTGAGTGACGAGAGCTGCAACCGCTCTTCATTCCTGCACTTCCTCAGCATCTTCGTCTCCTTGTGCAGATGGCTGCTTGCGAGTATGCAGGGAGTTAGTCTGAGTCCCACCACTGTAACATGGCAGGTTTCTTTCTCTTTGGGGGCAGGAGGATGCGAAGAATTGAACTCCGGACCTCATGCTTGCTATATAAGTGTTGTATCACTGAGCTGTATCTCTGTCCCTGCACCACTAAGCATTTTGGGTGGTCATCTTTTTACCATGGTGTGTAATTCTAGAAGTTCCTGCCCAGGACCCGTGGCCCTGCTGGGGCTGTGGTGCAGCAGCAATCATGTTGGGAACCCCTGGTGGAGAAAAAACACTCATCATGGCCAGGGAGTAAGACAGGAAGAAGACATGGGTCCCACAATGGCCTTTGAAGCCAACTCCCCAGTGACCTAAAGACCTCCCAAGAAGCCCCTCCTCTTAAGGGCTCCTCGCCCTCCCTCCCAATATCCCATGGGCACCCAGGCTCTGACACAGGCCTGTGGGCGACATTCAAGATCAAACCCAAACACTATGCTTTATATTGCAACAACACCTGGACTTCTACCAGTTACCTGCATTGCTAGCTGGGAAGCAGTTGAAACCAAGATTCCAGTTTGCATAGGGTTTCAGCTCACACTTGAGGGTTCCAGCATACTTCTGATCGCTGCATGTATATCCGTCATCCCTGCCTAATGGGCTGCTTAGCAGACTCCAACTGAAACACCAGACAAGAGACAACAGACTGTTTAACCAACTCCTACAACCGCATAAAGCCGAATTCCTTCAGTAAACATTACGTGTGTATTATTAAGTATATAGGTGCACAAATGCACAGTATAAATTATTTATTTATTTATTAAAGGGACAAAATCAACTGATCACTAAGAGTTTGCGTGTGAGTGTATGTGTGTGAGCGAATGTGTATGTGTATATCTATTCACACACGTATGCACACGATGCTTTTTCTGCTCCTCTGAACCAGACTCTTCTCCACCCTCTGGCCTCTCATAGCCTCCCACTGTCATGGACTCCCCTGCTTAAGGTTCATTCTCCTCATTTCTCCCTACTTTGAGCTTCAAGGATCAGGTTCTTAATAAATAAACATGACCAAGCAAGAGAGATTCTTCTAGCCCCTCCGTTTCCCCAGAACTGCCTTCTCTTCAACCGTTCTGTGCCTTAATAAGACAACACTTTCATTCTCAGTGTTCCCAGGTACGAGGTAATATATTAGGAGTAGAGGGAGTTGCAGAATTAGACTTAGACCAACGTCTTGAAGTGTTTCCTCTGCATTCTGTTCTAGAGGTTTTAGAATTTCAGGTCTTAGGTTTAAGTCTTTAATCCATTTTGAATCGATGTGTGTAGACAGTGAGAGATGAGTGTTTGGCTTCTGTTTTCTGCATGTAGATATCCACTTCTCTGAGCACCACTTATTGAAAAGATGGGCTTTCTCCTTAATGTCTCCTTTATTTGGTGCCTTTGCAGCAAGTCAGTTGTCTGTAAGGCTGTGGATTTCCTTTCTGTATTCTCTATTCTGCTCCATTGGCTTATTTGCCTATTTTGCATTGATCCTACGCTTTTTTTTTTTTTTTTTTTTGCCATGGCTTCATAGTACATTTTGAAGTCAGATAAAGTGAAGAGTACTTAGCTTTTTAATAAAATAAATATCTTGAAATAATAAAACCTAATTTCCTATACTAGTTAGGGTGAACCATAGTAACACTTTTCCTAATTTTTTTCTTTAAAACATTGAAGCAATTGAGTGTGTAGTGGTTTCTTTTGAATCAATATATTACTTGCAAATACAAAATAATGCAAAACTGACCAAAAGGAAAATACCAAGCTCTAAAAGAATGACTTCTCAGGGCTGGAGATGTAGCTCAGTGGCATAAGTGCCTGCCTGGCAACACAAGGTCCTGAGTTCAATTCCTGGTTTAAAAAAGAATGGCTTGTCTTACTGATACTAATTCTATTCACAATAGTTTCAAAAAAATTTAATACCTAGGAATGACCTTAACTAAGGAGGTGAAAGAGACTGTAGAGCACATAAGAAAATGCTAAAACATGCCCTTATCCTGGTAGGGCAGAACTAATATATTTTAAATGGTCATACTACCAAAAGTGATCTATAGATTTAATGCAATGCCTGT